TTTTCTACTAGTTCGTCTTCGTATTCGTGCGCGGGAGTAGCTGCTCGCTGCCAATTACGACGCCCGATATTCCTGGGATTGTCATCGTTATCTCCATTGTCATCAGAGGGATCATCCCCAGGAGGGTTTCCACCTCCTCCGGGTGGATCTCCTCCGCCCCCTCCGCCCCCGGCACCACCTGTAGGTACTACCACAGCGACTCGTCGTTGACGTCGACCGGAGTTATAGGAGTCTTCTGGGCCCCCTCCGCCTCCTCCCCCGCCTCCTCCCCCGCCTCCGCCTCCGCCGTCACCACCAGAGCCACTTGTAGGTTGTCCTACAGGCCTACGGTCCGGTGGAAGCGGTCTACGGCCATTGTCTGGAGGTAGGTGAGGAGGACGGTCTCGACGGTCATCATTACCTCGTCCGCGACGATTGTCATCATCGTCGGAGGGGTCGCCGCCTGGATTGCCGCCATTGGCACCTCGCGCAGCACGCATGTACGGTACTAGTGCAGTGGGCTGAGACATATTACTTTGCCGTACGTCATTAGTTTGATCAAGGCGAATGGTACTGCCATCGATCTCGTTTCCGTGGGCCACAGTCCCGATGGCATGAGGCTCATTAGAGTAGCCCCTCGTCGCAATGGTTCGACGAATGTTCACGTCCTGAGAGGAGGTCGAGTGGACACTGGCCTGACTAGCCTCTCTTGTCACATTGCGACTATTTTGGTTCGACGTAAGTGTTTACGTCGAGGAGGGCACTTCTGGAGTTACTCCCTCCAGCTTCAGGGGACGAATGTGGTCGGGGCTCGATCCTACGTTCCGTCCATTCTGAGCAGCGTCGTAATCGACAGTGAATTCATTGGGCCGCACTCTATGCTGGCTCTGGTCACGCTGTCGATTTCGGGGTGTTGGCTGACTGGGAGGGTTGATCAGCCGTTGTACGGCCGCCACCCTACCATCAAACGTAGCCTGATCTTCATTCGGCTGACGGGGAGCAAATAGTTTACCAATGGATCGCTGAATAACAGGATCTGTTTGCCAGTCCGATACCATGCCCGTATCGCCGATGCATTGCATCCATTCTGCCGGACCCAGATGGCCAATCCCACTTCGTTGAGTTGGGATTTGGTCCATTGGTGTATTTACTGGAGCGGGCGGGGGCTCTGCTCCTCGGCGCGAGCCTTGCTCATCTGCCGGGGCGGCTCCTCCTGTCCTCGCCGTAGTACTATGATCCTGAGCAGCGTTGGCGTTCTCTGCGCCAGTTTGTCCAGTCATAGGGAAATACCGAACGAACCCGGCATTTCTCCAAAGAGCGCTCGTGTACGGGTGGATACGCTCCATGCGATAGTCCCCGGTTGGCGGGGGATGCGGTAGTCCTGGCAGTCCGAGTGGCGGCTGTCGAGCTGCTATTGGTATGGGAACCGGCTCCGCAATAGGCATCTGCACCGGGTCAACCTGCGCGCCAACGTCATGCTGAACGTTGGGGCGAATATCGGGTGGACTAGGAATAGCCCGCGATGACGGGTTCGACTCGTGTGACGGACGTGGGGTGGCAGGTCGTTCTCTCAGCAGATGCGTCGTAGCGTGTCTAGCAGTCGGGGACCTCGTCTCGAGCTCGCGTTTTACACGTCGAGCCTCCATACGATCGAGGTTAGCCGTGAGCGAGTTAATGGCTTCCGCACCTTTATGCATAGTCCGTCGTACACGGTCCCCTTCGTCCATATTAATCTCCCGATTCCTACTTGCAGCCTCAGTTCGAACTGTATCCCGAAACCAGTCCAACTCCTCTTCCAGTTGTTCGACGATCGCCGAAATCTCCTCGTAGGAATTCGAGGTCAGTGCCTGCATCGACAGTTGATGGATGATCCTGTCGGTTCGGTCTGCAGCTTCCTCTATACGGCTAGCTGGCCAAACGCCGGATGCGCCTCGCCGATTCGGCCTTGCTGGCATGAATCGTGCTGGGGTCGATGCAGGGCGGAACGGTAATAGCGCCGCTCGGCCGTCGATGAATGTCGGCGGGTCTGGGAATGAGTTCGAATCCATAGAGTATTGTTTTTGTTCGATTTTTTTTGAGTAATAGATGGTATCTGTGTACCTATGCGATAAGTCGCGAACAAACAGTAGTTTTTTGAACGCGGTGAGCGTTTAAAAAAGTGTAGAATCTCCGTAGTCAGTACAGTTAGCTTGTATCACACACACACCAATAAACGGAACCTCGTCTTATTGCGAGAGATACAAGATAGGTAATTGAGCTAAGCAGATTCA